GGGTGTACCCCACCTCCAACCACCTTACTGTTACCCAGGTGTACCCCACCTCCAACCACCTTACTGTTACCCTGGTGTACCCCACCTCCAACCACCTTACTGTTACCCAGGTGTATCCCACCTCCAAGCCATGGTGAGCCTTAAGGAAGGCTTCAAGATTGCAACCGGGTACAAACACACTAGTTGCCTGAAAACGCAGTTATACCTGGCTAACTTACAGAGTCCTGGTGTGGTGCTGTGGGTTAACTCACCAGACTGCAAAGCTGTTTGAACTGCATGGTTGGCGGTTCAAGCTCACCAGCTGCTCCTTGGAAACCCTATCCAGGGTCACTATGGGTTGGAACCGACTCGATGGCACTTAACAACAACAACAACAACTTACAGAAGGTTGCTAAAACACAGAAGGAATGTTCCAGAAGCAGTCAGCTCCCTCTCAGCCTGACAGCAGTTCACTACAGATGGTCAAGCTGGAAACAGGCTACCACCTGGGCCTTGGTATCCAGGCCAGACAGCAGGAATCCTGACAAGAGCAGAAGGCGTTTTCCGGGGCCTGGAGTTGGAGGGTTCGGAATACTTTGACCCAGAAGCCCTGGGCCAGTAACAAGACGCAGGTCAGCAGAGCCAAGCTGCTGCTCGCCTTCTACACCTAGCCTCACCTTTTACACAGCACAACCTGGAATTTCCAGTTTTAAGAAAACACTCATTTGATTTAGAGGAATTGTGATCACACAGTCAAGTCGACATCATTCCAGAGCATTTTTATTTTTTCTTTAACACTCAAGGGGAGATCTTTGGAGATGTTGCTAATCAATGCAAGGCAATCCTACAAAAATCCTACAATCTTTTCATCTCACAAAAGGAAAATGGCATTCACAGGAACCCAAGTACGGCTGAGAAAGACAAAGTAAAGAAACCATAAAAGGGTCGGGTTTACCTCCCAGGTTACCGGGACACGTCTCTACTGACTAGATTAACGCCAGAAGTGGAAGAAGTCCTTATCAAACATATGCTTTATGTCAAGACAGAACGGTGTGACTCCACGCACCGGTCCATTACTGAGTACTTGGGGCTGTGCCCCCGCACGCGGTCACTGGGGTCCTGAGACTAATGGAACTTAATTCAGAAGCAGAGGTTGGGTTGGGGATATGATACAGAATTACAGGTAGACCCCCAACGGATCTGAACAATGCTGCAAACCAAACACGCCAGGACGCATCCTAAACAAGCCCAGGTTGGGCACAGGGGCACGCAGAGTCCCCGCAATGCCCCGTGGACTTTCCGTCCCATGGCCACTCAGAGGAGTGTTACCAGCCACCCAGACCCGCGCGCACTGCCCCTGTAGCCACTTAACTTTACAGCCAACTGCATTCCACTGCAGCCCCGAAAGCTTGGCCCCGCAGGCAGAAGAGTCCCCTGAATTGGCAAACCCCGACCCCTAGAGGTGCCGCCGCCGGCCTTACCAGCTGCTCCTTGAGCGCGGTCAGTGCGCCCTCCAGCCTGCGCTCATGGCCTCTTGGGTCCTCCTCCGCGGAGCCTGGCGACGGGGACCGAGCTCTCAAGGCCCCCCGCACGCGCGCCTGCTGCCGCTCACGCAGCACTTGGAGCTCCTGCAGGCCAGCCAGCGCTGCGCACAGCCGCGCCCCGACCCGCCGCCGGTCCCAGCCTGTACCCCGCTCACCAGGTGCCTGCATCTCTGCTACTGGCAACCGCCGCCCAGTCAAAGAACTGCTGAGCCCGGCTGGGGAGGGCCGGGGGCGGGTCGGGGGCGGGCTGGGGGCGGGCGGCGAGCGGGACCCCCGCCCGAACCGCGTCCCCGCCCCGCCGACCGCGAGCCCAGGTTGGCTGGGACTTGGAGAGGTGGGGCGAAGGCGGACCGTGCCCGATTCCAGGGCGCCCCGACCCGGCCCAGGCCCCCGCGCGCTCCCGACTCGGCCCCTGGAGGCCAGGACCTGGGTGAACCCGAGCGTGTCCGGCGACCTAGAGGGGGACCCTTGAAAGGAGGACCCCTGTCGGAGTGCCACAGGGGCGGCGATGGACAAAAGATGGTGCAAGATCTGCTTTAGGGTGTTTACATTTTCCAGAAGAAATGCCCTGGGGTCACACGCCCATTGTGAGGACCCCGCTACTCATTATGCATATGGAAATTACTCACTCGTTATGCATATGAAAGTTACTCACTCGGTATGCATGTGAAAACCTGTTAGCTACTTGCTACAGTATACCTGCAGTTTGACAGCTTTCTTCAATTAGAATCCGCATTCCATGCTGTTCAGACTGCTGTGGTGTTGTAGGTCAGCACTGGACTGTGTACCACGAGGTCAGCACTTCAAACCCACCAGCTGCTTCTCTGAAACTCCGAATCTGCAGGAGCGAATTGAACAACATCAGCAACCATGCCATGCATTCGAGGAGCCTTGGTAGGTAGCCTAGTCGATTGGGAGCTGGGTTCATACGACAATCCTTAACAACAAAAACAATATTCTGTATTTAGAAGTCCTGGTGTGCTACTGTAGGATAAGCACTAGACTGTAACTGCAAGGTCAGCAGTTCAAACCCATCAGTCCCTCTTTGGAAGTCCTATACAGGGTCGCTATGATTCAGAACCAACTCAACACCACTTAACAACAACATTCTCAGGAGTCCTCATGTGGCTGTAAGATTTTGTCATTAAGTGCCGACTCAAAACAGCACCGTATAGGATTTCTGAAGTGCCGAGTTGGCGGTTCGCAGTCCAGTGTTTATTGAAGCTGGAAGATAATCGCTAGATAAACCCACCAGCCAGTTGCTCTGTGGGAGAAAGAAAAATAAGACTTCCTGCTCCCATCAACATTTACAGCCTCAGAAACCCTATAAAGAATTGCTACAAGTCGGACAAACACAATGGGACGGGTAGGTGGAGGGGTGTAGCAGTCTGTGTTTAAGGACCCCTGGTGGCACAATGTCACAGAACTGTTGTTGGCAGTGAGGAACCCTAGTTGCTCTGAGGGAGAAAGATCTGAAGGTCTGCTTCGGTCTAGAACAGAAGCTTACGAAGCCTACGCTATTCTGTCTCAGACCCAGGTCCCTATGAGTCAGAATCCTCTAGACAGGACAAGTTTTGTTTGTGTTTTGATTTCATATTCTATGTTTAAGGAACTGCCAACCTGTTTCCTAAAGTGGCTTCACCAAGATCGTCAGTTCCAACCCACTAGCTGCTCCTCAGAAACCCTATACAGGGTTGCTAGGATTTGGAACAGACTCCACGGCACTTAACAACAACTAAACAAAGCCTGGTGTGGTGCTGTAGGATACGCACTATACTGGTCATCTCAAAGTCAGCAGTTCAAACCCACCAGTCACTCTTGGAAACCCTAAACAGGGCTGCTGTGAGTCAGAAGGATTCAGGGTGTGGCTCATCACTGGACACCATTTCAAACCCACCAGTTGCTCATTGGAAATCCCATACAGGGTAGCTGTGAGTTGGAAACAACTTGATGCCACTTAGCACTAATGAGTCAGAATCAAGTAGACAGCATGCGACAACAATACGAATTGGGTGGGAAGTGATCAGTCACTGATTTTGATTTGCATTTTCCTAATGACTGATGGAGCACTGTAAGATAAGTACTGGACTGCTAACCACAAAGTTGATAGTTCAAATTCACCACCTGCTTCTCCAAAACCCAATACATGGTTGCTATGAGTTGGAACCGACTCCATGGCAAAGAACCACAACAAAAAAGACTGATGATGTGGGACGTCTTTTCATAAGCTGGTTGGCCATTTGTGGCTCTTCTTTGGGCAAATGTCTGTCCAGATCCTTTGTCCATCTTGTAACTTGTCGTTTTATTACTGAGATATAAGACTTGTTTATGTATTCTAGCTGCTACTTCATGATCAGATACATGATTTCCAAATCCAGTTGCCATTCTTTTCATCTTCGTCATGGCACCCTTTGAAGCACAAAGGTTTTAACTCCACGAAGTCGAATTTCTCTATTTTTTAATTTTTTTTTTCCTTTTCTGCCTATGATTTTACTGTCCTATCTAAGAAAGCATTACCTAATCCAAGGCCACAGATTTAGACCTATGTTACCTAGGGTTTCTTCTAAGTGTTTTTTTAAATACTTACAGCTTGTACATTTAGGCCTTGTCCATTTTGTGTGTGTGTGCATGTGGTAAATATGCCTCTAACAAAATAGTAATAATTTCAAAGCTCTTCACCTATGTCATATACAGACGTCATTGAATTCATCATGTGCAGACACCACCAGTGTGTACTGCCAATCATTTTTATGTATGGTGTCAGGCAGGGGTCAAACTTCATTCTTTTGCATTTGACCATCCAGTCATCACACCACTATTTGTGGAAAAGACTGTTCACTTCCTATTGAATTGCCTGGGCACCTGAGTTGAAATAAATTGAGTGCACATGCAGGAGTTTATTGCTGAATTCTCAAATCTATCCTATTTGATCTATGTGTCTATCCTATGCCAGGACAACTTGATTACTTTATCTACATAGTAAGTTTTTTGTTTTTAAAGCTTTCATTGTGAATTGAGTGATAGTTTACATGGGCGAACATCAGTTTTGCACTCTTCCTATCGTATTTCATTTTATTGCAATGATTACAATCCCCTCCATGCATCATCATTCAACAGTATTTGCTTCTATCCCCTCTGATTTTTTTTGTTTTGGTTTGATGTGCACAAAAACACTCAGGTATATATAATCATTTAAACATCCAGAGGGCACATTCTGCAAGTCTGCCTCTTGGCCTCCAGCACACAACCTTCTCTTTTCATGAGTCTAGAGTCCTCAGCTGCTCTATCTCTCCATGTCCTCATCTCTGCCTCCATCTCTGGTGTCATTGCTTCTCTGGATAGGGTCCTACATTCTTCTCATGCTCTTCTCCCTTGATGGTCCTAGGGTCCTCTGTTCCTAGAATGTATGATTAACTACTCCCTGCTTTATGTTACAAAACTTCTACCTTTACAGATGTAACCATCACAGTTCATTATGATAATTACTCACTGTTGAATCATAAGAATCTTATCCCCATCTCCTTTCACCAGACCCATCTAGACAAGATGAAAACAATTCAGTGGGGATTCTACCTTCCCCGGCACATTCTGTAACTACACTTCCTCTTGAAAACTTGTAACCCAGGGACTTCATGCCTTTATAGTCCCCTCATCTTAGGTAGCCAATGTCTAAGTTGCCCATCCCTATCAACCCTGTATATAGATGGTATAGGATTGATACTTGATGCGAAGACTCCTTCCCTCTCGGTTGGTATCTTTAGCTACTACATCCATAAATATAGGTCACGTTCATCAAATTGTAGCAATTTACACTTGGTTCCTTTGTCCAATTTCTTTATCTTTCTCTAGTCCGGCTCTGATCATCAAGCCAACGAAGCGAGATCAAATGGGTCCTATCTGCAAGTTTGAACATTCCTGTACGTCTCACCCTACTTCATATCACCTGGACATTTCATTCTCAGCTCTAGGCCTCCATGGCTAGGTCAGTGTCCATGGGTTCAGGAATTCCCAGGTCTCCCCTAACTTTGGACCAACCAGCCCTTCCTCTTTCTCTTTCATGTCCTGGTGGACAGAAGTCTATGGAACATGTCAAACTCAGTTTACATCTTCATTACTGACTTGCCCCTTTTCCACTCACATATAGACCAACACAGTCACCAGTGAGCTTACATGTCTGCTTGTGTATTCCCTTTGAGATTCAGTCTTGGAGGGGGATTTGTCCAGAAGGGATGTGATTGCTTGTTTGATGGTTCCCCAGCATCCCTGGCAAACAACTTGCTTGTTCTTGTAACAGTCAAATAGACTACAATTTTTGTTTTTGATTTTTTTTTTTTTTTCCTGCTGGTCTTTCTTTCAGGAAGTACCTTTTGTTCCTTTAGCTACTCTGGATTGGTCTGCATGCCCTTGCAAGTGGGAATGTCCCACCTCAGAAGGTTCTGGATGAGACTCAGGTTTCCACCTTAGGTCCTTTACACTACAAAGTCTCCACAAGAAGACTATTTCACTGGGCAAGTTCTAGAACCCCTTTCAGGTATTCCACTCAGTTATAGGCTGAAGACATGCTTACAAGCTTACTGAATCATGTTTCCCAACATTCCTTTCTATCTCACTCAAGTGTCTATTTTACAATAGAAGGCAAGGGAAACCAATATTCATAAGACAGTCAAACTTCTTAACATTATTTCCCTTCTTTTACCCATTCAGAGTTTGTCTTAATCCCTGTATCACAGAGCCCTGTTGTTCCAAGTCTGAGCATACATCACTATTTACCTCTGTTCCATTTAAGCAATGCAAATCTACTTAAGTATTCCCCTATCTACCTTGTTCTTCCACCCACCCTCACTTTTCTTGTGAATTACCCTCCTCAATACCCAAACTAACCTGTGCTCTACAGTCCCCTCACTCCTACCCCTGGTAAACAACAAAGTTTTGTTTTGTTTTTTTCTTTTAGTACAGGTATCTTTTCTTAAGCTTTTACAATAATGGTCATATGCAAAATTTACCCTTTTGTGACTGACTATGTGGCACTGTGGGTTAATGCACCAGACTGCAAAGTCATTTGAACTGCAAGGTTGGCAGTTCAAGCT